AATAATAGGCTTTACTATCACTCATCCAATAAAAAACCGTTGATATGTTTACTAACACTCTCCACATGGCAAAGCACGACTCATTTACATTGACTTTGTTTCAGCATGGATAGATCCAACAATCTAAATATTTTTCAAGTTTCCTATGCATTTTGCCTATCAATTCAGAACAAAATTCAAACAGAAAGTTAAAAACTCTAATAATGGCTGGAATTCTGAAAAATCATCATCTGATGCAACTTCCAGTTACTAATAAAAACAAAACAAAATCTCAAATGGCACTACAACATGGTATTCAAAATATGGCATATGATTTATCACACAAGACAACCCATAATTGTAAAGATGCTTCATGGGTTCACAAGTGAGGAAGATAAAAGACAAATGTCAATAGCACAAGAAATGGCCAACTGTAAAATTGTAAATATAATTAAGTTAACTTACTGGTAAAACTGTGTATATTCAATGAGAACTATGGTTTTTCAGTTGAACGATTTCCTTCAACAGGTAAGACATTCAGTTAAGCAGAAATATAAAATATTATTACAATGGAAAAGACAAGAAAAGAATCACTCTCTATTCATGGTATTAGAACCATGAATTTGAACACAATGTCTTTGAGACTGTCTGCTTTAAAGCAAAAATGTCTTGAGTCAATGAAAACCTCCTAAATTTACTGTATTTACAGGATTAAATGCCATACCTCAAATTTGGGGTCAAAGTAGAGAGAAAGCCTCCAGGTTTCTGAAAATATGTGCCTTGATTTAGCTGCACCCTTACTCGATAGTCTTAAAAATCAGCGAAGATACGGCTTTTATAATCATGTACATATAGATAGGTTAACAATCTATAGTATGTCTAAATAAGAGAGATAATGTGTCTCTGTATTTAGAGGACCAATTCTTAATACATACTTAAAGCCATGCTTAAACTGTTCTTGTTCAAAGCTTCAAAATCCTTCACAGGAAAATCAGGCGCAACAACAGTTCTTGGTTATCACACATGATGAATTAGTTACAGAACACGTATTTCACGTTTAACAATAAAAATCAATGAGAAGAATTGTATGAAGAAGGACATGCTCCACTTTCAAACATCCATGAAATACACATATAGAAAACATTAAAAAGTAATGGTATAAAAGGAACTGAATGACTGACTGACTGCCTTCAGTGAGGTGAACATTCAAAAACTAGTAGATTCAAAACAAAGTAGGAAAAAAGGATACTTAGAAATAGCACTGGTATTCTTAAAATGCATCACTGCTAACTTTTAACTTTCAAGCATTGCTTGATGTGATTAAAATCAAAATAATTTTCACAAAATTTCCCAAAATACTAAAATACTGTATAACAATAGAGATGGATACATAATGAAATAGAACTAGTCAGATACATACCTTTTCATATTGCCCGATTTGAAATCAGTACCTGACACTTTAGACTTAGGATCTGGTGTGTAAGAGCTCCATACTGTCGCCACACAAGGCTCGAGGCCCCAATTGGAAGCACAAGACAATGTTTGCAGTTTTCCATGAGAACCTGCTGTTACACAGGTATCCACAATTGAATAGAATCTGAAAATTAAAGTTCTTATTTTAAAAACTGCGCAGTATTTTTGATCAAAATGATGACAGTTTCAGATTTAGAAAACCTAGGAAGTTGATTTTGTACTGAACTTCACCTCTGAGTTAATCCATCAATCCACTGTTGAAGATCTTGTCCAAAACGCCGGGCATTGGCAAGCGCCTTTCTTTCTGAAGCAACTCGAGAGGCTGGTGTTGAACCAAGCAAAACCTCCCATTCAGGTAACAGATGAGCATGTTTATATGGTGCTCCTGGTCCACTGTGTACAAAGCTGAAAAAGATAAAATATTGAAAAATAACTCAAATGACAACAGATGGAGGACACGATGGTAAAAGTGTGATTTGCTTACCCTGTTTGCTGCTGAGTGATAGTAACACCAGACATTATCTCAAGAGGAGAAACAAGAAATTGAACTCTAGCCCAAACCGTTCCATTTTTGACCAATCGCACATCCCAGACTCCAGGCAACAAAGGTGACTGAAGGGATGGTTTAACATAGCCCACCTAATTTTCAAAAAAAAATAACATGGGATTGGTATTAATTTTATCTTTTTTAAAATTAAGAAATACTTGCAGAAACAAGAAGATACTCTCTTAGTTAAAATAGAATTCATTTTTTCAGGGTTAGTAAATATAGCTTACCACATGTCCATATTCAATGTGCATTTCAGAAACTTCAGCCAACTGTCCAGTAGGATCGATCCACAGGAAAGTCATATTGGTGCTTAATCCACCAGTAGCATTGGATTCCAATGTAGCTACCAGTACAGGATCTGAGAAAGGTCCAAGAACCCGGAGAAAGTTCCGAGACATTTGCTCTTTCATATCATACTCAGAGCTCACCAAGAGGGACTGAAGTGAAGTAAAATGAATCATAATGATAAATGTATTAAAAGAAATGAAAGGAGTGTACCAAACTTTTAATTACTTACCTTTAAACGAATTGTGTCACGATTTTTCCGTATGATGCCAAAATGAGATATTGGAGCTGCCCATGTTTCAAGCTCTAAAGTTTCTAAGGGTGAACTTTGCATAGCCTCAAATCGCACTAAGGATCCCTGAAGAAGCAACAAATTCCAAACTTTAACAATGACACATAAACTTACATTGCAATGTGCATAGTCACAAGAAGCTGGAGGCTCACCTTGTATGAATCATTGTTAAAGTAGGATGTCACCTCCAACACCTTTAGCATTTTTAAAGAACAACTACTGTCACCATTTTCTACTTTGTGACTGGCTTGTCGAGCCAAACTAGCAGAGACAGTCAATAAGCCATCATCAGCTTGAGGACTGAGATCCATATGGTTATACACACTTTGCCAATAACTTAACTTGCTTTGAAGGTCTAAAAATTTATAACATACAAATGTTGAGTTAAGTAACTTGAGTGGATGAGCAAGAGTGAACAATTACACTGTAGAATCTTATGTAAATACCTTTAGCTGTTCCACCATATAGCCACACTTCAACTTTGTCGATGACCTGTTGACTGATTGTTGGGTCAAATTTGCGGGCAAAAAAGAGTTGGCGTTGTTCTGTGCTCTGTTTTAAGGAAGACGACCAGGATGGATTACAAATGGTTATGTCCAAATCACACATTCCAGTTTCTACTATCTTCATTTAGCACTTTGCCTGCTCTTTACGGAGTGATTTCGGTAAGTATTTACCTGTAAGCGGCTCCAGTCATCTAATTTGAAAACATTAGGACTACATCCACACCAATCAACGACATGTTGATACTGGCATTTGCATCCAAGGCGACGTTTCCAATTGGTGACATGCAGATTGTTATCAACATATGTGTTGCAAAATTTGGAATTGCGTAAAATTGTATGGAAGAAAGACTGAAAAGCAACAGAATATTTTTCTTTGTCACAATACAAGAACAGAAAATATGTTAGACTTGCAAGAAAAAAGAATTGGCAAATGAGGTTTATAACTTACCTCAGCTGGCAGCAAAGTGTGTTTAAAAACTGACATAAGTCCCTCAACTAGCTCATCTTTCTCAGGGGCTGAGACATATGACACAAATGAACGAGAGAGAGCAACCCAATCACTACCACCATCAATCTGAATATTAATAATTGCAAGAAAGATCATTACACAATCAGGAAATAAATGTAAATGTCTTATTAGCATAAATGGCTGATATCAGTCAGCTAACCTGTATTCCCCATGGCAGTTGACGATTTCCAATCCTCCACATGTGTGCATCACATTCAACGAATGACTTGTCTAACCCTTGTTTCTGGATGAAACGCTGAGCTTCTCTCCCATGGGACTTTACAAAATTATACTTCTTGTTCGCTGTGAGAAATTTGACAAGTTGAGCATTGGTTCTGAAAGCACAGAAAGATGTTTTAATGAAAACATATGCCACATGCGATTTACAGGTAAGAGTAACATAGAGGTAACTTACTTAATAGGTAGATCAGATTCACTAAGGTTTATAATAAAATCCCACTTCCAGTCTGATGATAGCAAATATGACATGGATGCCAGCAACATTTGCAGAAGAGAGGCACCTCCCCATATAGTAGCATAACGTTTTCTAGCTAGTTTAACATTTGGAAATTGTGTTTCCAGCACCAAAAGTTCACGGAAAAGATAATCTTGGCGCTGAAAATGTGTTGATGTAAATAACAGAACACTCACACATTATATCTCTAACTTTGAAGAAATTTACTTACAGCATCAACATGAATGTAAAAGTAGTGATCTTGATGGTAGAGCATTTTAAATAACCTTCTGACCTGACGCACACCCCTCCCGTTCAGAGTGAGGAGATAAGCAACTCTGACAGGAGTCTCATTAGGTTTTGGACTTTCTTTTGGTACTTGAGGAATAAATTCTGAAGTAAAAATCGAATCAGAATACAGTTTACAAATTTACGGAAAATTAAAATAAAGAGATGGTTGACTAGGTCCTTAACTCAACTTACTTGAAATACCAGTTTGATAAACATTGATTGTGTAGTACCCTCCACATGCTTTACGAGGATCAGCAGGACATTTCATGTTACATGAGGAGTCTGGCAAGCGAGCACTCAGTTCAGGTTTATTGTTGCCACAAAAGCATTCCACTCTGAACAAAGAGAAGCAGATAATATTTTCTTCAGTTGATTAAATTTAGAAGTTCTTTAAATTGAATTATGTAACATTTTGTACTTACGAGTACTGAACACCAGCATATGGAAAGCCTGACTGGAGGCATAAATGTATGCAGTGTTCAGGAGAATTTGTTGATTTTAGAGTAACAGAATATCCACTAAGAGTTCGAAAATTCTTTTCATCTTTGAAGCATCCAAGAGATTTCCCTGCTGTCATTCCTAAGAGATAAAAGAAATATGTAATGGTAAGCGATCAATTGCTTTGGCTAAAGGATAAATTTCCTCAGTTTCAACCAGAACTAACAACTAAATGGAATCATGACAATAATAAAATTTATAGCAAATACCTTCTCTGACAGGGCATGACATTTGAAGAGCCACTGGATATAAGTTCGAGTCATTAATTAGACAAGTTTTATTAGCAATCTCTTGTTTGCAGAGCTGGGTTTTGGCTCGATGAATGGCGGAAACAGCCTCTTTGTTGGTTATTTCACATGATGGTGTAAAATCTAACTCTTCAAGTCTCAAAATAGTCCTATTCACTGCACTCACTCCTGTCCTTAAGGAATTGTTATTTGGTGAATTTGCACTTCTGGTGACACTAGAGATTACATGGAGATTTGATGGCTTATCAGGTGGAACTTTGTGGCGATTGAAAAGAGCATTTATGGGAATATCTTCATCATCCAAAGCTAAGTAGTTCTCCCTAAACCTTCTTGATGAAGCTGCACCATTTGGGTCTTCATTGAATGCCTAGAAATAAGACACTATGTTATGAAACCATCGCCATAATGTGAGAAAAATAACACAAATAGAAAAGTAGTTTATGGTTCGTATGAACACATTTAAAAAAATAAGGTTTGAACTGGTTAAAAACAAAAACAAAAGAACAAAACAATTTTTTATGAAACATGTCTAGTTTTAGGTAAACAAAATTTGTAAATTTATAGTCTTGAATAGATAGACAAAAAAAAAATTCATTGTTGATGTACAGAATTGGAATGAAAAGCTACTGCATAAGAATCCAAACAAAAAAAATTCAAAACTGGAGAGTTTGACAGAGTACTCCTCCACTTACTTCACTGTTCATGCGTCCTCTTCCCGATACATCGCGGGGTTCCGACGGAGTCCCCACATTGTCAGAATCCAGGGAAAAAAATGCATAAGCTAAAATAACTTGAATGCACATTATACCCGAGCCACATAGTAAATATTTGCGATATCTTCGAATCCATCTACTATCGGGTACTTTAACCGGAGCCATTTTTAGTCTGCTTGCAATGTTGCCAGCCTATGAAACGAAAGTTTATAAATGACATCCGAGCTGATTCTGAAAAGAACATTAATTTCGTATATTTTCTGACTATAAATAATAGTAATGAGTGTCATTCTTTTTACTCTACAACTTTAAATAAATAGTTTGAACCATTTTTTTGTCTCGTTTAACACGTTTTGCTTGCAGGCAGTGGGCCAGTTTCGTGCGCAGGGTAGAAACTTAGGAAGGCCGATAACTCAATGTCGGAGTATTTTGATTTGAGATAATTTGACTGCTATTGCCGTGTTTGTCAAAATGGTTTCTGGTCTAGAGCAGTTTGTAAATGCTGTTCAGACACTATCATCACAAGGTAAGTGGTTTGTATGAGGTGTTCTGCTGTTCAGAGTTTAACCTAACCTTTCCTCTAAACTACTTTCATGTGTGTTCTAGTGCATATTTCATTGTTTTTAAGATGTTTTCCCCTATACTTCATGTGGAAGTCTGTTGGAAAGATATCTCGGTTCTGTGAGTGTCCTCTCATGTATCTACTGAGAGCGGTCCGTTAATTCTTAAGAGACCGGCATATCCGCCAACTTAAGTTTTCAAGCTTCCCTGTCATCCTGTCATTCTTGTGAAGATTTAGGGCATAACGTCACTGAATTGGTTCAGGAAGCCTAGAGCTTTCTACCATCACGTCCGCAGTTGCCTAAATTTACTGTGCAGTTTTTTTTTGTTACTACTTTTGTTATGCATTTCCCAACTTCAGTTTCAATTTTCAAATATCCATGACCACTATTTCCTAAACCTTTGATATATTTTTCTAGTGGAAACCGAATTGTGATTCATCTGTGTTTCTTGTTCCAGGAAATTACACAGATTTATGTGATGTGCTGAGTAAGTCAACTGAGGTATTGTCAAAAAATCTCCAACACCTGGACAATGTTTTGGAGACCTTGGACACGCATCAGCATTCTCTTGGTGTTCTCGCTGTGTTGTTTGTGAAAACGTCGAATTTACCTGGTCATCCTGCTCAAGGCAGTGGAGCAGCAGAATCAGTAGCTCATTCTGAGACGAAGACTCACGATGTTTTAATATTTAACCAGTTCCAGAATTTTGTAGACAAATGTGACAGCACCCAAATACGGCAGGCACCTGACACATGTATGTTTATTAAGTTAACTATATCTCCAGTGCAAGTATTTCATGCAGAATCTAGCCGAATTAACAATGTTTTATTTGTTAGGTTTTTGAATCTATTTGGAAATTTGAGGTGGGAATAATTTCTTTTGGTTACCATCTGTTTCTATCTTTCTCCTTTCAGATTCAGAAGTGTGCCATGTGGTCACTAAGATTTTAATTGATCAGAAAAGACCTCATAGAGGTATTGACCTCTTAAAGAGAGCAATACGTAAGCTCCAGAAGCATGAATCTCAACTAACAGGTGTACATGCAGATCTAATGCAACTTTGTCTTCTCGCCAAAAATTTCAAACCAGCTCTTGAATTTCTGGATATTGATATATGTAGCATTAGTGATGAGGTATCTACAATGAGTGTCGTCTGATGTCACTTTTTTCTGATACATGTTAAATGTAACTTATATTTATGCTTCCATTTTCAGGGCTCACAGTCTGAAGCAAAGTACTTTTTGCTTTATTTTTATTATGGGGCTATGATATACACTGCTCTCAAAAAGTTTGATAGAGCTCTTTACTTTCTTGAAGTTGTTATCACTACCCCTGCAATGGCTGTTTCACACATTATGTTGGAAGCATACAAGAAGTACATTCTTGTTTGTCTAATTCTTCATGGAAAAGTACTTATTTCATTTTCCTGTTTGCTTTTTTACTTGTTCCTAGTTATGAAGTATTTTAACTCATTTTTGTAGGTCCTCAACCCTCCGAAGTATACTTCTCAAGTTATTGAAAGATTCATCAAACCTTTGAGTTCTGCTTACCATAAATTGAGTTTAGCTTACAATTCAAACAGCTGTGAGGAGCTGCAGCAATGTCTAACTCTCTATGCCGAGACCTTCAATAGGTGAGCTTTTGTTCAACATATTGCTAATAATTGTTCTAATTGACATGTATATTTATTTATTCCGAATTTTTTCAGGGATGGAAACAGTGGTCTTGCTAAACAAGTTCTTGCTTCTCTTAGAAAGAAAAATATTCAAAGGCTCACAAAGACCTTTCTGACACTGTCTCTCTCTGATGTAGCAAGCCGGGTCCAGTTACCATCACCTAGGGATGCTGAAAAGGCCATCTTAAACATGGTATGTGATACCGAATTATTGTAAAGTTTGAAGGTAATCCAGAGCTTTGAAAAAGAGCCAACATTGTTAAATATTCATCCAAATGTTATTTTACAGATTGAGGATGGAGAAATTTTTGCAAGCATTAATCAGAAAGATGGAATGGTATTCTTCCATGATGATCCAGAAAAATTCAACTCACCTGCCGCATTAAAGCGACTGGAGGAGGAGGTAAGGAAATCACATAATCAAAAGTCACTTCTCTTGTAGTAAGATTCTGCAATTCTGCATTTCTATTTCTTTCTAATTGAATTTTGATATTCCAGATGGAACGATGTACCGAACTAGATCGTAAAATTCTTGAAATGGATGAAAAGTTTTTGGTAAATCCTGCCTTTATTAAAAAGCAACAATCTGGTGCTACTGAAGATGACATTGCTTTAGCACCAGCTATGAGTGGTCAAGGATCTTCTACCTTCACCATGTAAAGTAAGTACAACTATTGTTTTGGAAATGATAAACATTGCACCATTTAAAACTACAGTAGTGTTGAAACATTAAACTAAAACATAGGCATCCGGCTAGCCTATTTTGAACTGTGTGAAAATTGGGAGTTAAGAGATTTGATTTCTTGTTTGTAGATTCATGTGACACCTATTGTTGTTTGACAGATCAGGCTGAAGAATGAAACCATCTTAATTATTGATGTTGGGGAATCTCTTGCTCAATTCCCACTTTTCCATTCTATTATTCTGTTTGTTTTAGTGAGTATTAACCTACTATTAGATGCCATGCAGATCATTTCAAATTGTGATAATAGCCAAAATGGACTGTGGTCTTTGAATTGGTTCAGAAAGCAACTTGTCATAAAATTTTCTTTTCATATTGATGTTATTGATATTGACATATTCCTACACACCTTTTCAACAAATCGTCCGGGCTTGTTATTTTTGTTTTGCATCTATTTTAAAAGGTATTCAATAATAATTTATAATAAAAATCTTTGTGATTCTTGGCATTTAGCATTGTATATTTCTCCTTCCTTCTTTTTCTCAATTGAAAGTACTAATTGCAGTAAAAAAAGTTGAAATAGTGAACATTTTGCGATTTATAATTTATGCTCAAAACTGATCAGGACAACTCCAAAAATTATTTTTAAACCAATCCAGTTAGTTTAACATATTTCAGGCGAGTTACACTAGCATTTGCTACTGCCTCTCTGATGTCTACACCTAGTGGACACCTGGAACCAGGAGAAAAAAGATAATCAGAAAGCAAACTGAAGGAAAAACCAGTATGATACCAAATGAAAGAGTAACTTACTTTGTTAAGATACTGACAGAATCCAAATCATCCCAGTGCAAAACCCCCAGGTTTTCTCTATATCTCTCAACACCATTCCAGGCAATCATGACACCATTGTCATTACACAAATGTGGCGGAGGAACAGATAGATGATAATCATGAGTATCACAAACAATTTTTAGGGCTCTAGAAATATACTTGTTTGCAGCCACACCACCTGAGACAACCTGTGGGTCACATTTTAATTATAAGAACAAGTTAAGTATCACCATGCTCTGCTCTGCTTGGGTCAGATCAATACTTATAACACACCAGGCTAAGATTATCTCTGGGTATCATTTCTTTCCTGTGTAAAAAAATCATGGCCCTTTCTACTCTTCTACAGAGGTGACGAGTAATAGCATATTGTATTGCTGCACACAAATTAGGAGCAGATGGAATCACTCCATCAGCCGTAGTGCCTAGTGAAGCAAACACATCTAGGTATTAAATAAAATTCTTCAAACTTAGTATACAAATATCTGAAAAAAATTAGTGCTTGGTACAAACCATATTTCTGCTCCTCTGCTGCAATAGTGTTGTAAGCCTGTGTTACCAGACCAGAAAAAGAAAAGTCACAGGAAAGAATGCTGTCAAAACAAACAATTGGAATGAATTAATGTGGACAGCAACACAAGTAATTTTTACTTTACAAATAGTAAGCATACCTGTTTGCTCGTATTTCAAAAGGAAACTCAGTTCGATTTGTTGCTTTTTCTGCCATAACTTCAACAGCATGGCCACCAGAAAAATTCTGTAACTCTGGAATGTTGCGTAGTTTCAAGCGTCTGTGAACCTAAGCTCCAAAAAAGTCTGTTCCAAAACCTAATTGTTCAAATACAAAAATTCAAAATATAAAGTAGAGCTTACCTTATCAAGAACTTCACCTGGTGAATTATCCAAACCCTTCCCTAACAGTAGAAAGGAGTCCACATTTTTTACTAGTGCCAGGAGGCAGTGACCGCCAGATATCAACAGAACTAGGAATGGAAATTTTACTTTCTGTAAGGTAAGCACAAAATATTGGATTACCAGTAGTTGTTCTATAGTAGGAAACACATCACCTTTGATTGTTAAAATACAGTTAATCGCATTTTACTTTGTCAATCAAACGGGCAGTCAATGCATGTGCCTCCATGTGATGTATGGGAATGAATGGCTTTTGAAATTTCTTACTAAGAAAACAGCCATACTTTGCCCCAACTTCTAAAGAAAGAGATAGCCCTGTAAAGGATTAAAAGACCATTTTGTGACACAAATATCAAAAGTATTGAGGAAAATTATGAGGTAAAGATCTTCTGTTTTACTCGTACATACCAGGTTTCACAGTTGCGGCTACTGCATCAATATCTGCCATAGACAATTTCGAAGCTGTAAAAGCTTGATTGGCGACCTTCTCCATATTAGCCCTGTGGTAAAAGCCAGCAACAGGAGGCAATATACCACCATTCCTGCAATTTGGAAATAAAACATAATTTTAAGGGTCAACCAGTGAAATGTATACTCACAGAGTATTACACTACTAACTCTAAATGAATTTGGGCCTGGTTGTGAAGAGCGTTAGCAAGAAGATTCCGGTCACTATCAACGATTGCCACTCCAGTGTCATCACAACTAGTTTCAATGCCTAGAACTTTAAATCCCAGATTTGCACTAGAATTAAATAATCGTCTGCTATTAACGTGGTTATGTTTTCGGAAAGTGCTAACAAGTCCACACTTTGAACATATAATTCCCGCAAAACTTCTATACATTTTTAGGTGATTGAATAAGCGCCGTGACTAGGACAGCTTTACAAAATGGTACGATATAAACTAGAGATGTTGTTTGTGCCAGGTTTGTTTACATGTGTAATAACTCGACTTACTACACACAACAAATTTTTCATAGGGAACGTAAAGATTTTCATTCAGTCAACCCAGACCGGTTGTGAACATCGCCGAAAAAAGTCGAAAATGAGTTTAAATTTACCGTGTGCAATGTTTCTATGAGTGTCCACTGAAAACAACTTTCCTATTTATTCTACAATGGTTAAGGAACAGTATCGCGAGACCGACGTTGCTCGGAAAATGTAAGAACTTTGTACAGGACTCCACCACCTTGTGTTGTATCTAGGTTATACGTTCAGTATTTAGTCATATGGTCGGAGTAAAATAATGTCACCTTACTTCCCAGAGTAAAAAACAATTCAGTTGATGTTCGCCCATCACCGGTTGCCTCAAAAAATAGTTAGCCTTTTTCCTTTTATTTTACAGCTCCCATGTATCTTTTGGTGTCGACAGTCAACAGCGGATGCAGCAACAAGCTCATCTGCATGTTGTTGTCAAAGATCTGTATGATGACCAGGGAGGAGCGCAACGAAGACCACATGCATATGGTGTTCTTGATCGACATATGGTGTGTAATCAGCTATTGTATTGTTTCAAAACCACTTTTGAGCTACAAACGGAACTTGCTGCCTTATGACGCTGTTTTTATTGACAATTATCAGGGTACCAACCAAAAAGATGCAACATGTGCCACATGTGGTAAAGGTCTCAGTGATTGCATTGGTCATTTTGGATACATCAATCTGAAGTTACCTGTGTTTCATGTTGGATATTTTAGATCTGTCATCACAGTCCTGCAATCCATTTGCAAGGTAAGGTCAAATATTTATATTGTGGCATTTAATTTTTTTATCTATCTATCTATCTTTAATAAAATATTTCTTGCTCTTAGACGTGTTCTAGGGTGTTGCTTGGTGAAAAAGAGAAGGTGCAATTTCGATCCCGGATTCTAAACCCTGACTTACCCTATCTCTCAAAGAAAGCACTCCGCAAACAAATACTTGACAAAACCAAAAAAGTATCTGTCTGTCCTCATTGCCGTGCTCTTAATGGGGTTGTTAAAAAATGTGGTTTGTTAAAAATCATGCACGACAAATATCGGAACAAAAAAAAGTCTGATCCTGTTGTCACTGATAAACTTGGTCAGTACCTAAATTATATGTTTTTCTACCTTTGTTTTTTTCTGTTTTACTTGATTCAAATTGTGTTCCCAAATATTTTAGCTGAGTATGCTGAGGCTGTTGAGGGAAATAAGGAAATGGAATCTATTCTTCCAAATGCTCTAATTCACATATTGAACCCTCTTGAAGTGCTTAATCTCTTAGAACAAATTCCAGAAGAAGATATTCCATTCCTTGTTATGAATCCCCAATGTGGAAGACCACAAGATTTGATTTTGACCCGCATACCTGTTCCTCCATTGAGCATTAGACCATCTGTTGTCTCAGACCTAAAATCGGGAACGTGAGTGTAAGAAGTAGCGTCCTATTACGTGATCTGAGTTCTCTACTCAAAATTTATTTAATTCTGGGCAGGAATGAAGACGATCTTACCATGAAGTTATCAGAAATAGTGTTTATGAACGATGTAATAGAAACCAGAGAAAAGAAGCAGGGTGCTACTGTGCAACAGATTCATGATGCATGGGAATTCCTACAATTTTTATGTGCCTTGTATATCAACAGTGAGACATCTGGCATCCCTTTAAACTTACAGGTAATACATACACATAACCAACTAAATTGTTTTTTTGTTAAGTATTTTAGTAACGTAATGGATTGAATTCTTCACTGCTAATATCATTTCAGCCAAAAAAGTCAAGCAGAGGTCTAGTGCAACGTCTCAAGGGAAAACAAGGACGTTTTAGAGGAAACTTGTCAGGAAAGCGAGTGGACTTTTCTAGCAGAACTGTGATATCCCCAGATCCGAATTTACGAATCGAACAAGTCGGAGTACCGGTTCTTGTGGCAAAAATATTAACTTTTCCAGAAAGAGTTAATTCAACCAACTTAGAACTAATGAAAAAATTGGTGACCAATGGGCCTAATGTACATCCAGGTGCTAACTTCGTTGAGCAAAGTGGATCTACCTTCAAAAAATTTTTAAGATATGGCAATCGAGCCAAGATAGCCCAAGAACTAAGGCCAGGTGATATAGTAGAAAGACATTTGTTGGATGGCGATGTTGTACTTTTTAATAGGCAGCCTAGTTTACACAAGCTTAGTATAATGGCTCATAGAGCTAAAGTTTTGGAGCATCGCACTTTTAGGTGAGAACAATTTTAGTTAACTATCAGTTTTTACCTTCTCTTTAACAAGTATTGTTAATGTTTTTTATCTAAAATTTGGTTACTTTCTATTTTTTACAAGATTTAATGAATGTGTTTGTACCCCATACAACGCTGACTTTGATGGAGACGAGATGAATCTACATCTCCCCCAAACTGAGGAAGCCAAAGCTGAAGCACTCATTCTGATGGGCAACAAATCTAATTTGGTGACCCCTAGGAATGGAGAACTATTGATTGCTGCAACTCAAGACTTTATTACAGGCGGTTATCTTCTGACTCAAAAGGATGAGTTCTTAGATCGAGGGCAGGCCACTCAACTAGCTGCATGTCTTCTAGCTGGGGATGATGGAAATATGAATATTGAGTTGCCTAGACCGGCAATTTTAAAACCAGCAATTCTTTGGACTGGCAAACAAATATTCAGTCTTCTCCTGAGGCCGAACAAGTTGTGTCCAATCAAAGCGAACCTTCGTACTAAGGGGAGAGCATACACAAGCAATGAAGAGTTGTGTATCAATGACTCTTGTAAGTTAGTTACACCATGTCCACTACATATGTTTATTTAAAGACAATTATCAATTTCTTCTTTCCCATCTAGTTGTAAATATTCGTAACTCTGAACTTCTGGCTGGATCTATGGATAAGTCAACTTTAGGATCAGGAGCCAAAAACAACATATTTTATGTTCTACTCCGAGATTTTGGAGAAGATATTGCTGCACTGGCAATGTGGCGTCTTTCACGTATGGCAAGTGCTTATTTAATGAACAGAGGTTTTTCTATTGGTATTGGGGATGTGACACCAGGACAAGGACTATTGAGAGCTAAGATGCAACTTCTGAATGCAGGGTCTGTACCTCTAGTTATTTTGTACTCTGAAACTTTAAACCTCAGTAAAACTAACTGAATCTGTTTTGTTAAGGTACACTAAATGCCAGCAATATATCAATCAAATGTCAGAAGGACGTTTGCAATGCCAGCCTGGTTGTTCAGAAGAAGAAACTTTAGAGGCTGTTATTCTTAAGGAGCTGTCTGTAATTCGAGATCATGCTGGTAAAGCTTGTCTCAAGGAACTGCCTCGAAGCAACAGCCCTCTGGTCATGGCACTGAGTGGTTCAAAGGGTAAATCATGTTCTTGTAGTCTCTTTAGGTTATTGACCTTGCAGTCATGCTCTTGCAGGAAAGTTGAACAGTTTTACATCACTTAAATACTTACTTTGTGATAATTCTGGTTTTCAGGCTCTTTCATTAATATCTCACAGATGATAGCTTGTGTAGGCCAACAGGCTATCAGTGGACACAGAGTTCCTAATGGCTTTGAAGACCGTGCTCTTCCTCATTTCCATAGACATTGTGTGTAAAGCCTGATAAAAAAAATAATTCTAAACGCACTAAGCATATGGTAAATATTACTCTATTAATTAATCTGATCTATTTTGCTTTCAGCTAAAACACCTGCTGCAAAAGGATTTGTTGAAAATAGTTTCTACTCAGGACTGACCCCGACAGAATTTTTCTTCCACACAATGGGTGGTAGGGAAGGTCTTGTGGATACAGCAGTTAAAACAGCAGAAACTGGATACATGCAGAGACGTCTAGTCAAAGTTAGTCCATTACTAGTATGTAAATTTACTTCGTACACATTTCATTTGACATTTTTGATAATTTCCTTATTTTTTAGTCCCTTGAAGATTTGTGTCTTCAGTATGATATGACAGTTCGCAATTCTACTGGTGACATAGTCCAATTTTGTTTTGGTGGAGATGGTCTGGATCCAACTTATATGGAGGGTGAGTTATCTTCCATCTATCTTTCAATCAAGTTCTTTGGCCGAAGGTTTTACACTTTCATATTGTTGTTGTTGTTGTTTGTAATAAATACATGTTTCTATATTTCAGGAAAAGATTGTCCTGTTGACTTCTCTAGAGTTTTGGATCATGTTTGCTCTAAATGTCCTCACAGAGATGAAGATGCTATGGATGCTCCAAGTATTTTGCAAGCAAGTCAAGAAATCCTGAAGTCAGAGGATTTTGATCAATGCAGTAAAGAATTCAAAGACCAGCTGAGGTACCAAAATGGAGCTAGAATTAATTTTATTGTTTGTCAGAGAAATATATCTTTCTGTTTAATATTTTAGGGAGTTTTCGGAAAGTGTGGCAAGAAGAATTGCAAGGCTTAGACTTAAGTATGGTATATCTGATGAAGGTAATGCTAACTTCCCTCCAGTCTTGTTGGAACCAGAGCGCGTGACAATAAGTCAATTGGTAGAATTTTTTCACACATGTCGTGAAAAGTATATGAAAGCAAAAATAGAACCAGGTACAAAAGTCTCAACAATTAAATTAGGCAATCTTAAGTTTGAGCAGAGTTCTTCAGAATGTATTTCCTTTTATAATTATTCTCCTAGGTACTGCTGTGGGTGCATTAGCTGCTCAGAGTATTGGTGAGCCTGGAACCCAAATGACATTGAAAACATTCCATTTTGCTGGAGTAGCTTCTATGAATATCACCCAGGGTGTCCCCAGGTACAACATTATGCCAGAATTAGATCATCTTATGTCTTGCTCTAGACTGGCCTTAATTAGGCTTTATCCATGTAAACTGTTCATCATGCTTTTCAACTTTCAGAATAAAGGAGATTATAAATGCAAGTAAAAATATAAGCACTCCTATAATCACTGCTCACTTGGAAGTAGATGATGATCCAGAATTTGCTCGGAGAGTTAAAGGAAGGATTGAAAAAACTACTTTGGGAGAAGTATACTACCTTTTAATTCCCCATGGGAAATTTTCATTGCTAAACATAAGTTTGTAATCAATTAAGTCATCCAATTTTTTTTAGGTGTCAGCGTTTATTGAAGAGTGTTATTTACCTGATGAATGTTTCATTCTCATAAAACTTGATATTGAAAGAATACGACTTTTGAAATTGGAAGTGAATGCTGAATCTATCTGTTATAGGTCTGCCTTCCCTCAATTCTTAGAGAATTTATAAGTGAAATGAATCAAAGAATTCTGACATATTTCCACTTATTTACAGCATTATGACATCAAGGTTCAAATCCAAGCCCAAAAAAGTTTCTGCTGAGTCACCTACCTTAATAACAGTGCATCCGAATGCCAGTAAAACAACATTAAATGGTGCAATGCAAGCCCTCCATGAAGCACTTCCAAAAGTTGTCATAATGGTATGTTACCTCTCTAGCACATAACATGCATGGACATCAACTGTTTGATCATGATTGTTCTTTTCATTCATAGGGGTTGCCTACTGTTGCCCGTGCTGTTATTCACAATGACGATTCTGGCGGAAAAACACTTTACAAACTTTTCGTTGAAGGAGATAATTTACGTGAAGTAATGGCTACTCCAGGTGTAAAAGGCATCCAAACCACGTCCAATAATACCTATGAGGTTTTTACTACTCTTGGTATTGAGGCTGCAAGGTGAGATACTTAGATTTTCCTAATTTACTTAGGACCTTCTCATGTCATTAAGATATTTTTTAATCCTTAGATCCACTATTATGTCTGAAATCAAACTGGTTATGGAAAACCATGGTATGAGTATAGATCACCGACATCCAATGCTTGTTGCTGATCTGATGACCAGTAGAGGAGAGGTGCTTGGTATTACTCGACATGGTTTGGCTAAAATGAAAGAATCTGTTCTTAATCTAGCTTCTGTAAGTACTTCACTCAAGGTACTCCCTCGTCTTATGTCACCAACTAAAACACCAATTTTGTACCGAAAATTTTATTTTTAGTTTGAGAAGACAGCTGATCATTTATTTGATGCTGCATATTATGGACAGAAGGATGCGATTACAGGAGTAAGTGAAGCTATAATCATGGGAATTCCAATGTCCATTGGAACAGGACTCTTCAAAATGCTTCACAAATATCCTTTTCTTTCTCAGTTTTTCCTTTTAATATTGCAAATCAATGATGAATCCAAATAGTGTGTTGTAGGTTTCCTTAATAAGATTGCTTACAGCTCAGGAATCAACCTCTGTGGAGCAAAGAGCTCTGGTATTTGATGATCCCTCACTGCATCCTGCTGTCAATACCTCATCAAGTGATTGGTTTGAAGAGAGCAAAGGAACAGTATGATACAAAACTTTTAGTATTTAAAGCTGTATAAGTGAGGGTGTTGTATAAAAAAAGTCTTTTCTCAATTTAAATAACTTTTATATTTCTCCAAAATTCCTGTGACATTTTGAAAAATAAATCTTTAAAGCCTCTAAGTAACTGATTAAGGAATTATATAAATATATATATATATACGTATATGTCAAAAATAAAAATTCAAAGTGCACCCTATCTGTGCCACCAGTTTGTCATGCTGTTCACTATACCATAATTTAGAGCCAGGAGCTCTGTAGAGGTTTTACAGATTTATTGATTTAAAAAATAACAGAACAATATACACACACTGGAAAAGTAAATCATTACCTCACAAGAATAAGTAGTAATCCCATTTGAACTAGGTTCTGCCCTAGCTTAATGATCATTATTTTAATCACACATGACACAATCAAACAAATCAGGTAGTTTGTTCAAATATTTCCTTGTATTTGAGACTTACACTAAGCAATATACCCGTTTTGAATATATAAGATTTGGAATTGTCTTTGCTCAAGACTCAACAAATTTCTCAGAGAAAATGATGAAAATTGTGCTAATTGCTTCAAAAGTGAAGTGATATTAGAAATTGGTTATAATATAACACACACAATTTACATAACAAAAACTAACATCAGACATCGATTTTTATGTCTACAGTAGAACAATTTCAATTTGGAAGACAACGTTTATTTGAGATTTGTCATTCTTAACTTAATCATAGCCATGTATCACAGTTTGTGTCATTCTAGCCTCCATTGCGAAAGTAAGTCAGCTTTCCTCCTGCTCTTGCTCCCCCTTGTCGTGCTGCTCTTGCTCCTCTTCCTCTTCGTGTCCTCTAAGCTTAAGCTCTGATATTTCTTCAGAATCAGACTCATTGTCATGTTTGACATAGGACGTGTAAACATCATAGCCAAGTGAAATTGTGTTATCATACAACACTCTGTACCTCAACGGTAGAATATAGAAGTTGATGACTTGAGCTGGAGGCCACACAACCCATTCTGCAGCATAGAGCCTCCACGCTTTGTCTTTAATTTCCTTTTTAGTTTCTGCCCATGATGCTTGCTCTAGAATTCCTAAGGTAATGAAGAAGGTTGCAATGCACAAAGGAGAACATATAATTTGGTCTATCATCACTTTTCGGGCTACTATTCTGACAGTTCTTCCTGGGAATTTAGAGTCTAAATATTTGTACCAGTTGTGACAAATAACTCCTACTGTCATTCCAGATATGGACATCCTCATCGTTCTTGATCTTTCCCATTCTTTTTTTTGGTTGCTTAGGATTTCATAGTGTTGTTCCAAGGTGTCCCCCACACCTGATAGGGACACTGAAATTCCAACATTGGTATACAATAGATACCTGAAATCAAATATAAAGATTTTAACAGAATGCTGCCCCAGCTGTCTTTAAGATTTTTAAATAATATGAAAAGAAAGGGTGTACATCTACATTGTGCGCATATCCATATTTGAAGACTGACATAGTACCTGTGAAACATTTGATGCACAACATGTCGACACTTTGACTTCACAAGCTGGGTTAGTACAGCAAATCGTGTTGGAACCATTACAGAAGTCATTTTAAACCCTGAAAAAGTAAAACAATTCATCATTGTAATTTTGCTGATTAAACTTTTCCCTAGAACAGAGGTCACATTGAACTAAAGAACTTTACATCGGAAAGTCTCATAATAAACAATTTGTCTTACCATAATAATTGATACAATTTAAAAACAGTTTCTTATAGAAAAAGCTAGAGGAGTAACTTTTAATTTCCCTTTAAATACTGATAAGCTGTCCTGTACATTTTTGTATGACATAATACCATATAAATCTACAATGCAAAGTATGAGATTTAATTATTAGGTGTTGTTTTCGAACTGAAAGTGATAATTGGTACAAGGTATGGTATGGTGGAAGAAGCACAGTTCTCAGTACGTGAGGCAACTCTATTTTCATGCAACATTCTACCCTAAAGTCCCTCTGCAACTGATGCCTAACCTAAACTAATATGAAATTCTTAATGGACTTACTCGGAGCTTTTTCTGATAAACTAAAACGAAGAGAAAAGACGTTTCGATAAAAAAGAAGTACACCCTAAAATTTTGATGTGTTGACAGTTTTTAAAAGTGTATCTAAAAAGAAAAGTGACAAAAATTAGGGCTTCTGATGCTCTCCATGCCTCTATCCTACAAGCAGCCGAGCAACGGGCCTAAACACGAGCACAAGCAGACGACTATAGTTTCTAACTTTTTCCACTTGGGGGCGCTAGTCTTCTTCCTTTTAAACACACGAGGAAGAGAGGTTAAGTTGACAGAAATACAGTTCATGTGTTTATTTACTATATGCTACAGACCCTTTTGTAATATTTTTGGTCACTAATAACACTTTTAAACTCAAAAATGTGTTCTGTTTCGTGGAAAAAGTACTTGCTTTGGTTCGCACATGATCTTGTAGATTTTAGATTGGCCGTAAGTACAAAACTGTAGGTCTTTACATTGATTCACTGGATGAACTCATTGTGTTAATATTTGGGATTTTTAGGAAATGAAATCTCTCCTTTCCTTACTGTGTATCGAAATGAAATGGGTAGAAGAACCTTCTGATCATGTGAGTTTTCTTTACTTTTGTTTCATCATCACAGCATTAATCATAATTTTCAGTATGTGTAGTTAAGCCATTCATTTCACCTCCCTCACTTTCTACTAATTTCTTTTTATCATTCAGCCTTTTTGGATTGTTCAGATGCAATCAGATGAGTGTGTAAAAAAATTAGCCTCCCGCTCTATTTCTTTAAGAGGTGTTATTGATCTCTGGGCTCATTCTGATTGCATTGAAGATTTGCACAAGCAACTGAAGAAATTGGATCATGACTTCTACAAACCTTATTTCCAACCTCATTTGTCATTTAAAGTTGAGGTAGAAACCTTCAGTAATCATTTAAGTATGGCAGAACGAGTTGAGAAAATTGAAGTAAGTAATAGTCATAGTGACCTAGTACTCTATTCCCGGTTTTTACTCTTCTGTCTCATTATTTTGTTGTGTGTAGTCATTTAGCTACCTACCTCTTGCTGGCCCTGTTAACTTAAAAAATCCTGATGTGAAACTTTGGTTTATGGAATATTACGGTCTTGAACCAAATAACATCCCAGATAAACCCTATCTGTACTATTTCGGACGATGGGTGAGTATAGCTTTATCTCAATTCTGGTCGGTATTTTCTGGGTCTTCATGAACTGTGTTATATTTTTGTATCCAAGATGATTGATGGACAGCGACATTTAATCAAAGAGTTCTCATTGAAAACAAGAAAATTTATAGGGAACACCAGTATGGATGCTCAAATTTCAGTATTGATGGCAAATCAAGCTAAAGTAAAGTCTGGGGACTTAGTCATGGATCCATTTGTTGGCACAGGTAATAAAATTTGATGTACCAGATTATAATGTTCAGTGTTTCCTCTATTTTATTTGAACATTTGTGGTGCAGGTTCTCTCTTGGTACCGGCTGCTTATTTTGGAGCCTATGTTTTAGGAACTGACATAGATTATCTCATGTTGCATGGCAAAACTCGGCCTAGCAGAATCCAACAAAAGGTATGTATATGAATACTATTGTCTCTGTTACATATCAATCATTTTGTTGCTTGAAATTGTTGATCCTTTGGGATTTTCTTTCTTTAGGTTCGAGAAGCTGATGAAAGTATACATTCTAATCTTTGGCAGTATGGTCTCCAGAACCAGTACATTGATGTAGTTGTAGCTGATTCATCACTCCCTTTGTGGGTCAAAAATTTTGAGTTGGATGCAATCATCACTGACCGTAATAAGCTCTTGTTACCAAGATCCTAATGAACTCTATCTTTAATCTGATCTAATAGATTAGAAACATCTATCTGCTCTGCTTAATTTCCCTGTTGACAGCTCCTTATGGTATTAGAGAGCCCACAGAAAGAGTCGGCACTCACAAAACTCCTCAAATTACTGAAGAGCAGGCAGCAACACACATACCTTCCAAAATAGATTATGACCATGATCACTTGTATCAAGATTTACTCAATTTTGCTGCCAAACATTTGAAATTAGGAGGACGTTTAGTCACTTTTATTCCCATATTGCGGTATGTGGTGATAGATAAGTAACTTCTTCTGAATTATGTTATTGCATTTTATCTGTGCATTTTTGGGTATCAGGTAAAATTGGAATTCTTTTTATTTCAGTGAGCTGTATTGTGAAGAGAACTTGCCAAAGCATCCATGCTTAAATCTAATATCTAACTCTGAGCAAATTTTATCAGCACATATCTCAAGACGACTGTTGACTTTTGAAAAAGTTTCTATAGAAACTAATAACGAGGTTTGTGAAAAAGACTAAATATAATCTCAACTTGCTGTTAATGTTTAGGTACTATCAATATGCCCAGTATTATTTAAAATAATAAAAAAATTGGTGTTAGGTTGGTGAGAGGACTTTCACCCCCAATCTTGAGAACTTCAGAGACAAATATTTCAACCACTGTGAAGAATCACGAGCCATAAGAAGGCAGAAGAATTCCTACCACAAGTGGGCTCCAAGAAGTTCTACAGATGAGTGAATTTTTACCTTCCCACATCTAAATAAACTTAATGGCTGTGATATATTCTATATTTTATCATGGGTACTTTAACTCATCATGAGTGACCCAAAACAGTTGTATTTTTACAGTAACTGAATCTTAATGGTAAACGGGAGTATAAATACATTTATTGAAACCTTTTTACAAACTTTTAGTAATCTTTAAATGTTATACTGCTGTCTCAAGAAATCACAACATGTACACAGTTGAAATTGATTTTCTAGTTCTAATAATTAATAGTTCCAAATCATAAATATCTTATAATTTTTTCCACCTTTACATTTTTCTTTTCTGAGAAAAAGAGATGGACACTGATTGAAGAAAAATTACATTTTTGATTTACAAATGTTTTGAGTGAATTGATTTTTGGTCATGGGCCAAATTACACTTTCCCTTTGGTATGCTTGTTGCAAGACAGATTTGGCAGACTATGGGGATGAAGATTGAGGACCTGCGATTTGTAAAGCACCCAACATACCATTGAGAGCTTCAAGCTCACATTCAGGAGAACGTCCAGAAACTTCTTCATACCTGAGAAGCAAGTCAAATAGTTAAACAAATATTCTTGTTGAAAGGTACCTGTATTCTGTAGCAAAAATACCGTATTCACCTGAGTCTAAGACTCCCTTTTTTTCCCCTGAAAATTCGTCGCCGAAGTAGCGGGAGGTCTTATACGCCCAGGTTAAGCCAAGTGGGGTCCCGAACACTTGAGAAGCCAGGAAACACGTTAAAAGTGGGAGGGGTCTTAAACGCGGTCTTAGACTCAGGTGAATACGCTAATCTAAGATTCAAAAATTGCCATACCTATTACGAATTTGCTTGGATGCCCAGGCTATCAATTTATTGCATTCCTTTTTTTTGGGAGCAGACAAACTTTTTGTCATTGAAGATACATTAGTAGCAGCCTACAGAATTATTTTTTTCCAAACAAAAAAAAGAACAACATTTTATTAGGTAAAGACAAACCATGAATCACAATGATACCTTCAAGACTGTCACATACCAGAAGGAGACCATACAGAGCTCGCATGTTGTTTTGATTCAGTTTTAGGGCTAAACAATAATGTGCTCGAGCTACCTCCATGTTTTCCAAGCCTCCCTGATTAAAAGAAAAATGAAGTATAACTGTGTATGTCAAAACGAATTGCATCACACTTGGTAGTTCCAACATACGTCAATATCCAAAAGACATTGAGGACGGTTGCAAATTATTTCCTCTGATTTAAAATGAGCATGGACCACAAAGTGGTCATACTTCACTCAAAGTGTCAATCGTTGTATGGAAAAGTTATATATCTCACCTGGGTATATTTGATATCTGCATACCGTTGGTGGACAAGATGATTGTGAGGGTTATGAAGAATTAGCTCTTCCATACAGAATGCAGCCTTTGCATAATCCTGTTCAAGAAGATAGAGCTCACACAATTCCTGCCATGCTTCTTGGTCACTCATGAATCTGTAAAAGCAAAAAATAATAATAATAATAATAAAAAATCAATCAAGTAATAAAAATCAAGTAATAATTTACAATAAATCCAATTTCAAATGGAAATGTCAATTTTGAACCTAAACTCATTACTTACTTTTTCAAATATTCATTTAGTTCTTTGATTGCTTCTGCAATCCTTCCTTTAGCCTTTAAAATAGCAACTCTTCTCTTACGAGGAGCAGCATTTGTTTCATCTCTCTTAATAATCTGATCCAATAATTCCAAGGCTTCATCATACCTAAACATTGATTTACAGGTGTACAAGCTAACAAATATAATTTAAAAATTAGCATTATCCACTTTTAAAATGATTTATACTTTTCCAAAGCCTCCATTTTCATGGCCTGTAACTTCCGCACTCGCATGCTGGAGGGGAATTCAGTTGCAAGGGATACCAAACAGATATCGACAACATCCATGCGGTTACAGTCTAGTGCAGCAATGCAAACTTGCTCCCAAACTAGAAGTCCTGTATTTAACGGGTTAAATAAGTGTTACACAAAATGCAGTCCACAAAAATCTTTAGGAGACTTGAATACCCACTTTCATCTCCTAATTTATGTATGTTGCTCTGTAGATAGCTATCCCACATATCAACGACTTCCAGGCTGCGTCTTTCATTCTCTTCTCTCCACAGTCTCAGCTTGTCTCTAGCCTCTAGAAAGATTAATTTTAGTTTTAATACACATAAAGATTGACAGTAATTGTGGGGGTTTTCAAGTGAACGGACATTAAAGAATTAATACAAGAAGCCAAAATTAAGTCAAATTTATTTGATAAAATGAAATAATTTTTCTTTAGTTCCCTCTCTAAATGATATTGGCTCGGTGAAGTAAGTTCATGATTTTATGGTAATTCACGAACATTCATTCATCTCTACAAAAAGTATAGTTAAGAAGCTTGCAATCATATCTGCTAATGAGGTCTCTAAACGATTAACTAAACAGAATGTTCCAGAAATTTTCAAGATGATGGTAGGCTAAAACATCCACCCCCAAAATTGATGAAGTTTTCTTTTCAATTTTATTACTTTTGCAGTCGACCCGGATTCCTTTCTGCTACTTAGTTTGTGTTCATTTACTAACAGGAAAAGTACAAGGAATAACAACAAAACAAACCTCCCCAACTCATTTCTGTCGAAGACCTGTTCCCTATTTTGAAAAAAGCTACGTAGAACTACGACAATACTTTCTTTTTAATCAAAGAAATTACAAATTACAAGTCACACCCTAACCAACCACCCAACCAACGAACAATTCACTGTTGTGACGTGGTCCTAGATTTTGCCGGTAGAGTACGCTACCTACGCTTTCATCACAGAAACTTAACTTGGCTACCACCATCATCGGCCATCTGTCCGTCCGTGTTGTGCTGTGTTGCTGTGTTGTTTGAGGTTAAACGTAGCTGTCAACCGGTTCTTTGATAATTGAACAATCTTTTCAAAGATCGAAGCTGCTCATTTGCTTCAGCTCAACTTGAAATTCATCCTGTGGACGTAGTGTCACTGGTAAGTGTCTGAAAAGGATCTGAAATTATGCGTATGTCAAAACATTGATTCTTAGATCATGGGTTGTGACCTCAGATCTAAATATATCTGTCGAGAGTATACGAATCGAATCTGAGGTAGATGGGCGTAAGCGAACCACTTGAGGAACAGGCACACATGTTGTTTAAGATTTAAGAACGTTTGTGAGACCACCAAACCTAACAGCTTTTGTTCATCAAATAAAGGTCAGTGTGTCATTCATTCAGCTTCTTTGATTGAAATACAAGATCTTGAATAGTTCCAGAACTCTGTCATTTAATTCAAGTTTTAGGTTTTGTGGTGCCCCTTACTTGCCATGCCTATTATTTCTCAGTAACTTATATCTATCATATCTTGAGCTGGTTGGAATCACAATATGCTGTCTAAGCAGGGAGAAATCATTTGCAGTTTTCCAATTTACCAGTAGAATGACCAGGTTTATTCTTTTGTGCTGTCAGAAATTTTCTGTTAAGTTTTATACTGTTTTTTCCCCAAATATCTCTGTGTATCTTTGTATGCAACAACTGTTGCGAAGGACAATCGCATGGAGATCTACCCAGAAATTCTGGTAAAAGAGGGAAGAGGAGGCAGGTTGTTGGGCTTTTTCATGATGCACTTTGGTTCAGATTCAACATCCTTTCCGGAGGTACCTAGTACCTAATTATTTGCTGTCGGTATGATCTGATGAGAATTTTCGCCCATATAATTGGTCTTATTTATGTATCATTCGTCTTGAATCCTTTAAGTCTTAAATTTTGGTGGAACGGCCAGATGAGTACACTTTCTGCAGTGTATGACTCAAACGAGGGCTGTCGGACAGCAGATAGTTAGTCTCGATGAATTCACCAATGTACATCCGAGTTTCGGCATGAAATCTTATTTTTGTCAATTAAATATTATTTTCTGAACTTGAAAAGTATGTTGTTTGCTGTCATGCTGTTCTTCAGCCCGACAGCACCTTCCGATTTTAACCCATAGTTATATTTTTCATGTAAAAATAAAAAATAAATGTTTGAGTGACAGAAATGGGCTTTTATGCCAAAATATAGACGAAAATTTGTGAAACCGTCGGGATTTACAATCTGCTCTCTGACAGCACGCGCCCGCGTTGTTGCAGCTGATGTATTAATCTATATTGTGCTTCTTTGCAAAGACTGCTAAGACTAGACTAGTCATTTAACTAAGGCTTGCTAAAACTCAGCGGGTGCGATTTCGTAGTTGCCGGACTATGTACACACAGCAGGTAGAGGGTGGCTCACATATCCCTTACTACTCGTAAATCGCGCGCACCCTGCAGAATATTTCTTGTGAAGTTGGTGGGAAAATGTAAGCTTGGCGCCGTTTGTTTATGCCTACCAACTCCTTTGTGTGCACAGATATCTTCACATCGAAATCAAATCGTAGCCTTGCCCACTACTTACATTTAGAAATATTCTGCCTTGAGCGTGCGAGTGGTTACAGTGGAAACCCAAGTCGACGAAGCGCAGCGGTTCGATCCCCGCTAGCCGCCTCTTTTTCCTTATGACACACACAAGCTTAAGGTAAATTTGTCGTTTTTTAGCCGTAAAACGGATCACTTTTAGGCGTGAAATAACGACAACTTTAAATGCATTGCAACGATACGCAAGAAGTTCGCCTGCTTGTCGTTATCGCGCCCTAAATTGGTTGTTAATTTACCGTTTTGTAGTCGTGATTCGCGTCGCAAATAACGACAAGAAGACGATCTTTTTACCAACTTTTGTTCCACACGGGGTGAGGGGGCAATAGCTCCGGGAATCATGTGTACACCTGTCTGATCATCAGGATAAAATTGAATCAAAATCGACATAAATCGCTTAAAACAAGCGGGAACCTAGTGGAACTCATACAAATTAGTCGAAATAAGCATTTTCTGCCAATAGAAAACCTATGAAATTAACATAAGTGGACGGGAATCACTGAGAATCAAGGATTCCGGGAATCATGTGTAGACTTTAAAAGGAAGTTATTGCCCCCTCGTTACTAGCTGTGAAAGGGTTCTGCCTAAACCCGAGTGAGTATGTTTATACTTGTGAAAGATCGGGCCTCAGCCATGTTTCGCACCCATTGAAATAAGTGCTCACCTAGCAGAGTGTACTTTGGACAATTGAAATGTTTCCCAAGCATTTCCATGACTTGGGCCCCTTTCTCGCCAGTGACCCTCCCTGGATCACGTTCCCCTCCATCTTCCTCTCCTCGTCCCATGAAACGGCTGCCCCTCTTGGGCCCCACTACTGCGCTCCCAGCACACCCCCCCCC